GGGCCCCGTAGAGAAGAACAGAAATTAACCCTCCCCTTACTTCTTTCCAAAACACTGGACCCGCCCCTAACTTTAAGATACTATGCGTAAAGACAATGATCATAATTTGTTCACCTCGTATACAATGTATATCCATGAAGGGCGGAGGGGGGAGGGGCTGAGGGTGGGGGGCATGCATCACTGACCCCTTTAACTATCTCTATCCATGGACGTTCTGTAGTAACACTACACGTGTCATATCAGGATTGAATTAATATGATATTATTGATAATAATTCTGTGTTTATATTACTGCTTGTGTCATTTATCCTATTGAAAACAACTTCGTAACCAGTCTGCATAATTGCAATAACCGCTTTCCTCTGATTGACATATCTAGGTAGCTTCTGCGCATTTGACAAACTCAGTGCCAGTGGCGGTCGTATACAGAAGGTTTCCTTGTAACTATCCCTTAGTCGGTTATCTAACATTCTATCGAAGTGTCCATCGCAGAAATCGGACAATGTTTCGTCAGTGGTCAGTTTTGCCTTAAGGGATTCTTCGGTCGAGCTTGTGGGGCAAATTTCTCTGACAACAATGAGTTAATTAATAATTATGTATTAGTTTGTAATCGAGATAAAATGAAGAAACTTTTACAATATTTGAGTGGATATAATTAAAGTTTCTCCGAACGGAAAGAAAGAGGCCATACTGTAGAAATATATATATTGACATTTCTGGGCAAAAGTTTAAATGAAAATTTGACTCAAAATTCTTTTTTATATATTAAATAAAAATGCTTTGTAGAAATTCTTTAAATAAATATTTCTATCATAACTTATAATTGATTTCATTTTTTGTTTTTTATAAAATTCAGTCATCTATGATAGATAAATAAATGGAACGTTTTTTTGGGAAAATCTTGGTTAGTACATCAAATATATTAAAGGCGAGGCTTCAGCTGTCACAGCGCCACGTCATACCAATCAGATCGTCGCGCTTGCGGGTGAAGGCGGGGCTTCGATAAGAGAGTAAATTTCATTCACAAATGTTCTCACTAGCTCTGGAATGCCTCCATTTCTCATTCATAGATACGATCGCCCGGTGTCTGTGTGCAGTCATTGGTTCACGTAGTCGTTCAGTTCGGGTGGCCTACTTCACCTATAAATAGAAACGCAGGCCGGCAACGCTATTGTATTATAATGTCCACATAATTTTCAATAAATATAAACATATAATTATCATTCATATATGTGTGTATATTTCAAACAAATAAATATCTTATATTACGTAAAATATAGTTGTTAATCCTAGTGAGTCAAAGGACTAGTAACAACGTGGTCCTTTTCCTCTCCAACAGCAGGTAAACCGACAGATAACCTGGAATATTCACAAAATCAATCCTAGATTACTCAAATCTATTGATATTTCTACACACACCAAATCAACGTTAAGCTATGTCGTCTAGAATAAATTTCATCTTGAAATATATTTCTTGAAGAACAATACGTTGACAATAATCGCCGGATAGCCGCCGATAGACCCCAGTCGGCGAGTGTTAGTAGCTTTGTTTACGGGAAAAGAATTATCTCATGAATATTCATATTTTGTGTTCAGATGAAAAACGTGAAATATTGCTTTGATTTAATTCATTGAAAATGTCGATACTTCGTGAACAGTTATATATGTATTCTATAGTCATTTTGCACTGAAAACTGTACTTATACTGATAATGATTATCCGTATTTATGACAAAATCCAAATCGACCGTTAACATTCTCCCAACCTATCCTATCACGCATGCGCAATGGTTGACAAAGGGGCCCTGGTCGGTGATCGCATGTATTGCTTTACATAGAGTTAGGGTGGTATATAAAGACGGAGGCACACTGACAGATTGTTGGCCGGTGAGCTCTCATGTGGGCAACACTGCTGCGAGTATCTCACTTTTCTAAAATTTACTAACTACCATTGAATGACCGGCCAAACCAGACAATATCATTACGACTTTCTACCTCAGACAAAAGATTGCTAACCACGTTTCTACTGACAAATACACCGAGAGGGCTGGCTGTGATATAAGAATCGGAGAGCGTACCTTGTGAAACGTTACATGTGGACTGTGTCTTATTTATTCTCTACAGGAAATATCTCTGAATTAATATCGAGTTGTTTTCATCTTAATTTATAACAGTGATCATCCGATCTTTGAGGAAGATGAACATGTTGATGTGTTGTGAGACAGAACAGCTCCGGAGAGCTTACAAGGACCCTGTGCTACTGGAAGATGATCGTGTTCTCAACAACTTACTTATAACAGAAGATCGATATCAGCCTTCGCCAACTTACTTCAAATGTGTACAAACAGACATTAAACCATACATGAGGAAGATGGTCGCCGAATGGATGTTAGAGGTATTTTATACTGTATGCTTTACTTTGCCTTCCTGTAGTGTGTGGGGCCTGGCCACTCGCTGTGTATGATAGAATCGGAAGGGAAGAAAAGAAAATATTTCATTATTTTCATTGATTGATCTGGGTGACAACTGAATAATCATTAAGTTTACGATCAATTGTTGATCATGATCTAAATGTTTACTTTTTATTCGATATGGTTTATTTAATATGATTTAATGAAATCTGAGGCGTACATCCACTCACCACCTCCATACAAGATGGCGGGGCATGGAATGCATTCACACTTAACATTTAGTTAGTAATTTCAACTCGTCATAACTTTTTTATTTCTAAGTAATAAGTTAATTTTTTTCCATGGTTAGCTAGCATAAGATCTGCAGTTTTCGATGATATCATGATTGTATGTGAAATTTATCTCTAGACATTTTTTCGAATTTATATTTAGGAAGCATTTTTACGTCTAAAACACCCACGTTTTTGGCTATTTTTGCAGAGGTGGCTAAATATTAGTGGTTACTGTGGGTTTATTAAAGCTTTTACCTTAGTTATTTTTCCATGGACACCTAGAATAGGATTTATAGTTTGCATTGCATCAACAATTTTTGCAATATCTTGAAAATTGTGAATTTTATGATTTTTTTCTATGACTGCCTAACAAAGAGACTAGGACAGAATTTAGTGGGGGCCGCTAAATACATACATGCGCACTGGTTACCGGCGAGGGCATGTGCTTTGTAATAGCCAATGTGAATTTTTCTTGATTTTAGCTCGAATGTACTGACATTCCTCTCATATCCAGGCACAACCATCGCCCAAATTGACAAAGCGAACTTAGAAAATTTCGGTCGAATTTTTATATTGATTTTTAGGTCAAAAATACTTGGTTTCGTTAATGTTTTCCACGTTTCTAAAATGCAATAAAGCTGATTAAATAATATTGTGCATTATTATATCTTTTATTTTTATTTTCCTTCAGGTTTGTGAAGAACAGAAATGCGAAGAGGAAGTTTTTCCACTAGCAATGAATTATTTGGACAGATTCTTATCTGTGATGGACATTCCCAGGAATAGGCTACAACTTCTTGGATGTGTGTGCATGTTTCTGGCATCAAAATTAAAGGAAACGAATCCACTTACTGCAGAAAAACTTATTGTCTACACAGACAACTCTGTTGGAATCGAGGAATTGATGGTACATATTGCTTTGTGATTAAAATACCGGAATTACACTTGTGAATTAAATCATATTTATTACTGGACCCCTGTTTTAGATATTAA